TGGGAAATCCCTTTCTCCTTTAAGGATAGGGATAAGTAAACCATGCATTCTCTCTTTATAGGATTGGCAGAGGTATTGATAATTGTAAGCTAATAATCCAATACCTAACTTTTATAACTGTGCTAGTTTTTCCAATAAGTCAATAGTAAATGTCAGTAATGAATAGTTAATAGTTTCCCTACTTTTTTTATTTAGTCTGTTTGACAGACACTGTACAGTGATACAGTTAATGTTTCCCTATATGATGATCATATCAATACATTTCAATGAAACAAAAATAATACTTTATTCATGCAAGCGTATTGGATACTATTTTAAAAAACAAAAGTACGTTTTGTCTTTTTGGCTCATCAGGTACGTAAACCTTGTAAACGTTACATGTAAAATAACACAGAAGGGCTTCAAATGTCCACCATTGAAAGGTCTACAAAAGAAAAAGAAGAAAGTGAACAATTTAATTGAAATAAATGATTGTATAAATAGTTAAGGATCTTAAATGTGCAAGAGGAGCATCACAATGAAAATGCTCCATTTTATCCATGTCTGTAACATCTATTAGTTCAAACAATCCAAAGTTACAGCTCCAGCTGCTCTTATCCCCTAACTACCTAGGATCAAAATGTTGTTATTCTTAGTAAAAAGAATAGCCACTGTGTGACTGGTACATGACATAACGCACATTTAACTAGTATGTGGTGAATTAATGTGACTATTTTATGTGCATAAATCAATTCTTTTAAATCATCGCAATAGTATGATTTCTGCATGCATATTACGTATTTACTAATAGTTTTACTATCCTAATAAATTTAAGATATGCTACTGTAGAGAGCAGACAAATTGTAGTCTCTTAAAGAACATGCAATTTACTTATAATTTGCTATTTTGTGTCTTGGTAAGACCATGTATCATAGTTTCAGACTGTATACAGAGCCTAAAGATGTTTTCATATTAAGATTAGGTCCCAGACTGTGTTAAGCGCTATCCCTTTCATTAAACTTTTAGAGCCTATATATTAGTGGCAAAGTTAGAAACCAGAGAGGTGGTGTATAATCCCATCCTGAACTAGGTTCCAGGTAAGGCTATATTGAATTTAATTCTAGACATAAAATACCACAGCGCCGTATTGCAAAAAATGTCCTGATCATGAAAAGGGGTACATTTTCTGGAGGTCCCCTTATTTACTGAAGATTCACATTGCTAAGCAAACATCCTCTACTCCTTAAGTAAATTGTTAGATAAGCTGAAAGTAGTAAAAGTGGAAAGTTGATGAAGTTCTCTAACTAAAATATTTAGTTCACCATTTCAATGGCAATTGCACAGTCTTGCAATGCTGTATATAAATTAAATTTATGTAATTTTCCCCCACAAGTAGAGCTTTCTTTTAGTGGTATTTGATTACCTATTGATTGGTTTGCACAAACATTATAGTGTCTAAAAATGGTGGTGTATATAATGGAATTTTTTTTTACTAATAATGGCAGCGATCAGTGACTTATAGCGGGACTTCAATATTGCGGTGGACAGTCTGACACTAACTGACACTTTGTGGTAACCAGTGACACTAATACAGTGATCATTGCTAAAAATATACACTGTCACTGTATTAATGACACTAACTGTGAAGGGGTTAAACATCTAGGGCTATCAAAGGGTTAATTGTGTGCCTAGCCAGTGTTTTTGTGTGTACAATGTGATGTTTTTACTAGGTCATCTGCTAGATTTTATTCCCGAAATAAAATCTAGCAGATTGCCATTGACATAACACAGCTCTGCCTTGTTTACATAGAACTGTGTTCTGTCAGTTTTCTCAGTGATCAACAAGTGGCGGTGCTCATCCATTGGCCGGCACCTGTTGATTGGCGTCTGCTGTGTCCAATCACAGCAGAAGAAGCGCTTGGACAGCAGGCGTGTGCCCCCACCAGTGACGGAAATGCAAAATCAAATTTTATGTAATTTTGCACTAAACGTCCGTCCTGCAGCAATAGATCTGCTATAGGGTGCCCTGTAGCAATATATCTGCTATAGGGCGGACAGCAAGTGGTTTGAGCACAGATTCACCTTATTTACTAACATTTGCACTGTGAAGTGAATATTCTGCTGCATGCAGGTTTCTTACTTCCTTATTAAATCAATCCCAACATTTTTACAGTCACGTGTTGCATGCAAAAGCATACACACTAACATTAGTAGCATGTTAACTAAATATTATTGATGGTTTTATGAATAAAGCAATGTTATATGTTACTGCTATAATTGTTATAAATATGACCCTTATGGTCATGCTAAAACTTAATCATATACCTCCCCCTAACTTTAAAGTCTAGTGCTTGCCAATTTTTGTAGCTTTAAAAATAAAAGCAGATACATTTGACTTTGCCCTACATGCTATTGCTTTCTGTGATCCCATTGTGGAGCGTCAGGCAATGCCTGAATTAAAAAATAATGTAACTGACTTTTTTCATTATTTTGAGTTATTTTTCCGAGCAGAATTCTTTAAACAAAAAACATAAGATCAGTGTAAATATAGGTTATGGAAAGTAAATTAATATTAATGTACAATAACCCACTTATAAACACCACTAACAGTTTAATTAATAGGTTTACACAGACACTCTATTTTGCAATGAGGTTACAAAATTATTTGCTACCGTAATGTATATACCTACAGAATTGAATACTGCTATGATTTTCTCCATCTGTAGATATCTTAACCAATTGGATAAAAATTGGCAGATAATAATCTGCATTTGACCAACTTGACCCATGAATCCACTGCAGTTTAATTACCGGGTGAAGTTTATCTAAAGTTATGTCAATTAAGGCAAATTAAAATGACCAATTTTGGGGTGTTAGGGGATCTAATGGGATAGCAAATTGACTAGCATAAAATACTTTCACACAGAAAAATCAATAATAAATATGGAAAATATAGTTACCCTTTAAAATGGCTATTTGGCCAGACTCTCCTAAAATGGCTGCTGACTACTGGATGAAGCCGATCTTCCCCAACATGACATCTAGCTAGGCTGGAGCTGTGTTCCCTGGCTTCAGTGAAGTGAGTAATCTGATGAAGAAGTCTCCCAGATAATGTAATCTTTAGATAATGAGTGTTCTTCAGATGATGTGATGGTGTATCCTTCCTGATGGTGTTTGTTTTTTGTCACATGACTTGCCATTTTATTGAGTGGCAGACAATACATTCATAACATTTTGATAAACCTTGCACAGAAGGTGTAACCTTCTCTATGACTGGTGGGGCAGTTTGATCATCAACCCTGTGTTTGCTTACAGAACATCTCACTTGGTCACCAGATCGCACCCTAGGACCAGAAATGTCTATCCTGAATTTTCAGTAAATTTTCTGGTGATTAATCCTGATATAATAAATTCATTTTTTCCTACACAGCTACAATTGGATTAGTTTGTCTAAAATAAGTAGAATGCCTTGAATAGTCTGGTGATTTCCTATACTATGGTAGCAGAAATTAAATGGAATTTTTTTTTAAAACAGAGCTGTAGTTTCATCTATATCAGTCCATAATTAAAAAATAGATGATACACATAGAGAAAATAAATAACTTGCATACTTAAACCACTATTTTATTATGGCTACACTAGAACACACCCATATAAAAAATAATGATTCAGGACAAACAACCATTACTACTGTATAGTAAGCTTAATTAATACTTTTGCTGAATTGTGATATTTTAACATGGATAGATATATGACTTGACAGGTGTGTTCCTTTAGTTTTTTTCTGAAATATCCAGAAAAATAAAGTTTTATTTTCTACAATACTAAAAAAAATACCAGCCCCTTCCTAAACGTTTCTCCTAGGTTGACTTATTGGTCAACAGTTTCTCACCCAATTTGATTGAAATGTTTTCAGCTTACTCATGATTTCCCACTTCCCAGGTCTATATCTTAGACAAATTTCTCCATTGTTTTGGAATACTGGAAGTCAACAGTGTCTCTTTATCATGACAAACAGTCCTTTCTAAGCATTATATCATTAACTAGGAGAGGATTTCACGTGAAATTAGTCTTTCAATCTTTCAAAATGAGAGAAATATGATAAAATAATTTTTCTTCCATAAACGTTCTCACAGGAGTGTTTTCCTTGCTTACTGTCTCCATGATGCCCATACAAGAATTGGAGTATGAAGGCATTTTGGTACAGTTTGGAGAGGAAACACTCTTATACATTTTTGTTTTGTGGTTTCCAGCCACATAAGTGCTATTTGGCTGGTGCAGGTGAGTTGCAAATAAGCTTTCTCAGCAGAACACCTATGAAGTGTAGAAAGTCTCCATTACCACCAGCAACAGGATGGTACTTTGAGAAGGATTCTTCTCCCCTTTGAAGCACTTGATTGATTCTGAAGTGTATAGGAGGTGGTATCAACATAGATGGGGGGAAGGGGGAGGGCACTTGCTAAATAGATTCAAAATTCAAACATGTAAGCAGAACTTCAAGCCTAGTATCATTTGGGAAGGATGATGCTGTTGTATGTTAATTATAAAAAAAATTAAAATTTAGCAAGAAACAAAAATTATATATACTGTAGACTAGGTTGGATGAACATTTCTAGTATTTCCTAATCCAGATTAGATTTTTTTCAATGCAGGTTGTTTGTTTAGCATTAGAAATCGATAGAAACATGTTTTAAGTACCACCACTATTCTTGAAGCTAGATGAGAAAAGCATGAAAGAGCCATCATGTTTTATTACATCTAACTGCTTAGGTCAATATATTCCAAACTTTCTAAATCTAGTTTTTTTTTTGTTTTTTTTTTAAATATGTTAGACAGCAAATCTGCACTATTCAAAAACTTAAGAAGTTTATAAGTACCATTATTTAAGTTAAATTTGGTAAACAAAATGATAAACTATGTCTTGTTCAGAAATGCTATGCTAAAAATACTATTCTAATAATATGAAGTCTTGTACAATTCATGTATGCATTTATAAATCTGCCATAAATCACCTTATGTTTCAAGAACAATTTTCAGAAATGTTTTTTCAAGACAGTATGATGATTTAATAATGTTTCTATGTTTATATAATATGTTTTATTTATTTTGATTGTCTACCTTGTCTCTTTTTTTCAGAAATTGACAAGGGCGGGTGTGGTGACCCAGGAATTTCAGTATATGGGAAAAGAAATGGCAGCAGTTTCCTCCATGGAGATATACTAACATTTGAATGTCAAGCAGCTTTTGAACTTGTTGGAGAAAAAACAATCACATGTCAACAAAATAATCAATGGTCTGGAAATAAGCCAAGTTGTGTCTGTAAGTCTCTTTAGTTGTATATTTGTAAAATTACACAGTTGGTCTTTTTATCTGGAGAGAGTAATGCCTATTTTTTGGGTGAATCATCTAAAAGGACAAATACGATTCCAAATCAATATCTTCTAAAAAGATGATTGATGGGGTGTTTATCACCAGGCAAGTGTGCTTTCCATACATGATGTTAATTTACAATGCACTGCAGGTATGTTGTTGTAAAAAAAGTAGCAATTTACATGACCAAGCCATTTGCCTACATTTGCTAGGTCTTTTTTCCTTTTTAAGGACAGAGAACTAGAACTTTAAATTATGCCACTCTGTGTTCCTTCAAAATAGGTTTTCACATTTTCAAGCAATTATTTTAGTCTCTGTGCCATATCCTATTTCTTAACTAGAACAGAAATAGGTGGTTGTCATACTATGCAAAGTTGTCATAAAATATAAGCATAATTGTAATTCTTTTGTATTTTTTAAAACACACATGGCCATAGCAATAATTCTTCTGAAGTTTCTGTTAAGATTACCAGAGGGAAAGAATGAAAAAAAAAACATAAATAAAATGATTCTGGAAACACTTATTTAAACAATTACTGTCATGAATTACCGTCATGCTTTGTGAATGCATTTATACAATTTCTTAGATGATGTGTGTCTAGGCAGTCAATACAAATGATCACTTTATTGAGAATCAAACACAGTTCATACAATATAGCCTTACTCATTCCTAATATATAAACTAATCTTGTAAATGAGAGCTTATAAAATCAATTACCATATACAGTAGCACTTGTAATCTATCCCCTTATCTCAACAAACTTTTTACAGACCAATTTAAGTATTTGAATAAAGTTTAATACTTCCAATTAAGTCTTTAACAGAAACATCTATTCACAGAATACAGTGAGTATTTCTAATGAATCACTGATCACAAATAATGATATTGTACATGTAATGTGCCTTGTCTAAATAAAGTTCCAAGGCAAAAAACCATGTGAAGGAAGGATTTTATTGCACAGGAGACATGCACGGTCTCTTCCGCAATAAAATGCCCCTTCCTACCACAGCTCAGCACAGATCACTGGGCAGGTCTCTGAAGGCTGGGATGATGGCCTCCTGTGAGTGCACAAGAAAGATGTCTTCCCCCACCAGCTATTGAAGAAGCCCGAGGTGGTACAGGACCATTGGACAGGTATTAAGTATTAAGCCTTTAGTTCTGCTTTAATGAAGCTGCAGTTTTGTGTATTGGCATTGTGCTAGTAACCTAGTTTACTAAACCTAGTGAGTGACAGCAACATATTTAGCATGAAGAATATGCCTGTATCGTCACATCTTAACTGTAACAAAGCATTAATATTTTACAGTAGTAAGAATTTATTATTATTTATCTATTATTTTATACCAACAATTCCAGTTAGCTGTTTAATTCATTCTAAGTGTAAAACCAAACATTCATTAAAACCAAATTACAATTAAGAGAAAAAAAAATCCTTTAAGGCATCTTTTCTTTCTGGATCATTGTCCCCAAATGCACAGCACTTTAAACTCTAATACCACGCAGTACAATGTTCATCCCCGTACAGCCCCAGGCTGCCATAGTCTTCCACAGGTTGCCTGCAGTGGGGCTTGATACTGCACCTGTCCCTCCAGAGTGCATTAAAACCCCAGGAAAAATGCACTCCAGTTGGACAGATCTGTTAACAAGGGACCTAAAGGTCTACCATTCCTTCACTGTATGTATACTTTATGCTCCCTATGTATAAGCACAACATGCACATGACATTCACTTTTCATACATCATCCAACAAATGATTTTCCTTGTTGTGTTGGAGTTATATTATAGGAGCCAGGGCCTAAGTGTACATTTCCACTTCTTGAAATATTGCATTGACAGAACTGTGGAAAGGATTCTAGTTTATAATTTCAATTCATAGTTATACAAACCCTGAGTCTTGTTTTCTTTAAATGGCAAAATCATTTTTAATTATTATAGTCAATCAAACCTATAAAACTCTTTTTAAAAATGTTTTTTACAAAATAATCAACTCTCTTTGTTTATGTCATTCCTTGTATCATCAACTATATTGCTTTTCTCTACAGTTTCATGCTTCTTTAATTTTACCACACCTTCTGGAATAATTCTTTCACCAAACTATCCTGAAGAATATGGAAACAATATGAACTGTGTTTGGCTAATAATATCAGAACCGGGAAGTAGGATTCACCTGATCTTTAATGACTTTGATGTGGAGCCCCAGTTTGATTATGTTGCCGTAAAAGATGAAGGAATTGCAGAATTACCTGCACTTGGTACATTTTCAGGAAATGAAGTGCCCTCTCAGATTGCAAGTAATAGTCACATAGTGCGTCTAGAATTTCAGTCTGATCATTCAACCACGGGTAGAGGCTTTAATATTACTTATACAAGTAAGTATAATTTAAAAAATCAATCTTAGCTATTTAAATATGTTTAAATTGATTTTTTTATTTGAATACATTCCCGGAAGTAATTGAACTGAACCATTGTCATATTTCAGTATGGATAAAAAGGATATTCTAAGAAATGGTGTATATACCCCATCATGTTCTTTGACTCAGATTACCAATGGCATTTTAAATGAATATGTTTCATAGTCTACATTAAAGCGTATGTATAGTGTATTTGCCATGAGCACGTTTTACTGCAGTGTTCAACTTAAAGTGGAGTTCCAGTGAAAATTGAAAAAAAAAATAAAAGTCAGCAGCTACAAAAACTAGAGCTGCTAACGTTTAAAAAATGGACACTTACCTGTCCCTCAATCCTGTGGTGTCCCTCCCACTTTGTGAAGCGCTTTGTGAATGGTCCCATAGTCTTCTGGGACCTGCCATGTATCCCAGAAGACTACAGGAGGAAGGGAAACTTCTGCTTCTGATTGCCTAGGTGATAACAACAGAAGTGGGAGTGGGTACCTGTCAATTTCTGGTACCCGCTCCCCCCCACTCCCCAAAGGTGGCAATCCTTAACGGGGAGTGGGGGACCAGTCCTTAAAGCAGAACTTCCCCTTTTAGTTGGGGCTCCACTTTAATGCATTTTTTTTTACTACCTAATTTTTATAAGTTTGCCATTCCATATTTTTGTTATTATATTGTGACAAGATCTTTATTATTAAATGGCGATAAGACCTACACTGTACAGATATCTCCCTCACTTTACACTCCTTGTCCACCTGCATGACCAATACTTCCCTTGTTTTACCCAGCTACTAAAGAGGAAGTCACTAAACCTTTTCTAAAGCCCACCTGGATCCTTTTCCCTCACAAATTCTATGTTCATCCTCTGGCTCTATCCTACACTCTTTAGTGCATGTTTTAGAGGGTTCGGGAAGATACCAATAGAATAGGAGAGATTGAAGATATGTGAAAGTCACCCCCATACTTAAAAAGGCTCACTGGACCCCACCAATGTTAACAACCTAAGACCCATCTCCTTACTCCCTTTTGCCACCAAACTGCTTGAATGTCTAGTCTATAACCGACTAAGTTGCCACCTCATTGAAAATTACCTTCTTGATCCCCTTCAGTCTGGATTTCGCCCACAACACTCACAGAAACTGCTCTCCTAAAACTCACAAATGACTTACTAAGAGCTGAAACCAGGGGTCAGTGTTCCGTACTCTTACTCTTGGACCTTTCCACTGCCTTTGACACAGTTGACCACCCCTTCTTTCTCAAAAAACCTTCAGTGTCACTTACAACTCTACTTCCTCCTCTGCTATTCCTCTTACCATCAGGGTCCCCCAATGTTCTGTCCTTGGACCTCTCCTATTCTCGATCTACACTCTTCCCTGGGTCAGCTGATAGCTTCCTATGGTTTCCAATTTCCAAAATTTCTATTCCGATGACACACAAATTTATCTCTCTTTACCCTTAAGCTCACCTCATCAATTTCCTCATGTATCACTGATTTACTAACAATATCTATAAATCCTGTATAATAATAATAATATTGAAAAAAGAAATTAGTAAACTTGCCACTTGAAGAAGCTCACTATAGCATAATGCAGCAACTCAGTCCTCTTTGCTTTGTTTATGAATTTCCTTTAATTTGTTAAAACACAGTGGGTAGATTTACTAAAACTGGTGCACACAGAATCTGGTGGAGCTGTGCATGGTAGCCAATCAGCTTCTAACTTCTACTTGTTCAAGAAAGATTTGGCAGTAAAACCTGGAAGCTGATCGGTTTCTAGCCAGAGTTGCATCAGATTTTGCACTGTCCAGTTTTAGTAAATAATCCCCATTGTATTTTTAGAAGTCATCATTTTAGTAAAATATTCACTTTTTGTCTTTTTTGCATCTCAGATGTGACAACAAATTGCCATTTTGTGTGATAAGTGGTCACCTTTAGCTTCCACTGGAAGCCTGTGTTGGAAGGTGACAATACAGGAGCAAAACTGGGAGACATTGTTGTCACTCTATACTAATAAGTGACTGAATAAGTGACTTTCATGGCAGGTCAAGCTGCACATTTAAATATATATAAAAAATTCAATTACATTAACATGTGATTGGTTTTAAATATGATTTAATAATTGTTGATAAAAGATATTAGTCCTTCAAAAAGTGCATTTTTTAACTGACTCAGTGGACTGTTGGATTTGCATTTTGAGCAGAAAAGCAAAGTTTAACCATTGCTTTGCACTGCAATACAGGAATCAAAGTTTAACTTTTTAGTAAGAATGTACATGTATAATTGTAAATTATTTACACAACAAGGTTTTTAACCACTTCAAGCCTGGACATTTTCACCCCCTTCCAGTTCAGGCCAATTTTCAGCTTTCAGTGCTATCACACTTTGAATGATAATTGCACGGTCATGCAACACTGTATCCATATGCATTTTTTAGCATTTTTTGAAACAGATAAAACTTTATTTTGGTGGTATTTATTCACCACTGGGATGTTTATTTTTTTTCCCTATATATATGAAAAAGTCTAATAGTTTTGAAAAAAAAAGTGTTTTCCTTATAAAATTTTGCAAATAAATAATCCTTTTTTCATAAAACTTGGCCAAAATGTGTTCATCTATCTTTATAGTAAAAAAAAACAACAAATGAGTTTATAACCAAAATTTTAATTAAAAAAAAAATGTTTTTATTTATTATTATTTGTTTTCTTTTTTAAACATACTGTTACCCTAGCAGTACAGTGGCACCATAGTGACACTGTACTACTTGTGGGGGGTGATGAAGATTTTTTTTACTTTTTTTTCACTGATTGCTTTTACACCCATAAAGGCTGTAAAAGCAATCATTTCTCCTTCTCTCTGGCTGCATTCCTGCAGCCATTGAGAAATACTGTGCGAGCTGTGATTGGTCACAGCTTGTTACATGGTACAAGGCTGTTGCGAATAGCCTTGCACCATGTGACCTCTGTGATCATTCACAGATTTCACAAGTAGTAAGCAATGATGTCAGTAAGTAACATCTTGTTTACTACTATTCATGTGATCACTGATTGGCCAATCAGTGATCACATGATACGGACCTCACACAGAGGTCCCTTACAGCAATATGTGTTCCGCTGTGTCCTTCGGACACAGTGGGTACCAGTTGGGGTGCCGCGCTCCCAGGGAGTGCGCACAGGCAATGGATGCGGGGGGACGTTTAGATATGAAAGAGGTTAAAACACACGTTAATAACAATATTTACATCAAGCTGATTTCTTATGTGTTTATGTAAATACATAAACATTCCCTTTAAAACAAAATATCCAAAAAGCATTGAGTTTTTTTTCTAGCACAACGTTTTAAAACAAATTTAAAAAATTAGACATTCAGTTAGATAGTTGTAGAAATTCTGTGAGGGATTAGCAGTAGAGAAGAGCTGATGGTCCTTTCACTGCCAACAGGTTGAATAAGCCAATCTATCTGTAAGAATGTAAAGCTTCTACTTCCATGCATTTGTCATCTTCCTACTACTTTTCTACACTGCCATTGCCAAGCAGCAAATAATCTTTTTCCTCCTTCCCGCTGTTATAAGGAAGCAATAGGAGCAGAATAGCACTGAACTGGGGCTGATATAAATAGAATATATCATAGAACGATCCTCAACTATTCATCCCTGGATAAAAATTCTTGGACATTTATAAGAGATACATTGCATTTGGAGGATGGCTTCTCTATATGATAAATACTGGATATATATTGTTTGTTTTTATTACATTATAGTTTTTAATTTTTCATTTACCCATGTTAAATATGTTGAATTCTTTTGTCTGGTTTATCTTTTAATCTTAAAATTATGGTTAATACATGCATTTTTGTTACAGCATTTGGCCAAAATGAATGTCATGATCCTGGAATCCCAATAAATGGAAGGAGGTTTGGAGACAGGTTTCTCCTTGGGAGCTCAGTATCTTTCCATTGCGACGAAGGTTTTATCAAAACCCAAGGATCTGAGTCTATCACTTGTATTATACAAGATGGAAATGTAGTTTGGAGTTCCACTGTTCCAAGATGTGAAGGTGACACATCTCCAGTATGATGTTTGTTTAAACATTTCACAAATTCATGGATATTTTTTAAACCGTATTTCATTTTTTTAGAATGCAAATGTCCAAAATCCTCTAGTTGATGGGTGCATTTATAAGTTGAACATTAAAGCCCAACTCCAGCCATACTGTTTTACTGTACTTTAGATGGAGCAGGTGCATGTGACAAAGTTCCAGATATCCATTATTAGGCTGCATTTGCTAAAAAAAACCAAAGCCTTTCCCCTAGACTCATTCAAAACGTTAAAGAGCCATGTACTGTATAATAATTAGTCACAATTCATCTGATCTTTTTATATCATTAGTCTAACCTCAGAAAGATAAAATTCTCCTGCATGCAAAGAGTTGCTATAATTTACACCATATACATTATTCTATGATTTTATTATTGTGATATTTTATTACGGTATTTTATTGTCAATGTTTTGATAAACTGCCTAAAAAAATTAAAATGTACATGCTTTTTTGGTACGTTTCCTGCATGACAACAGAAACCTCCTCCTAGCAATATTAGCACATCCCAAAAACACAAAATGCATCAAAAACACATTAAAACGCATCAAAAACACATGTAAAAAAATTAAAACTGCACAACAAAATGCAACAGAAAAAAGCATCAACCGCAACCTGGTGTGTGAACTTAGGTTTGAACCTAGCTTAAAGTCTTACATCTTTATATTTTTTTTGTAGATCTACAACCCTTAGCCTTCCTATAATATTCTACCAGAGAAGAAACTCTGGGATTTTTTTACTGCAATAGGTGTACAGGGTTAATTTTAGCTTGAAAGAAAACTTTTGAGACAATGAATCTAAACTACTAGAGAGATAGGCAAATGTTTCTTACTGTATAGAGGGGGATCTATTACTAGCGAGAAGCCTGAGATCTGGCTTCTGCCCTTCACTGCATTCCTGTGCAAATCACATGTGAATTCTGTGCAGTTCAATTTGAGCTATGCATTTTGTATGGCTCAGAGCACACTGCATCCACACCAAAAAGGTGCAGGGCCCTTTTTCTGTCTGCACTAGAATAGGATTGCATGGGTATTCACACCTATGCAATCCACTTCTGCACGTCGCACCGAGTTTTGTGAACAGATTTCGGGGGGGGAGGGGGGGGGAGTTAACATACACACCCGCAGCTGTTCGCATGGATGGGGTGCGATTATGATGCGGTGTGGAATTCACGCATAAACCGGTGCGAATTCCGCACCACATCAGTGTGAACCCAGGTTAACAGCCTCTCTAATGGTTGCCTTACTTCTTCCCCAAGCCCAGTAGCAGCCTTATGGGCTGTTATATTTATTGTTACACCACTTTTGGTCAGCAAATTTTGGCTCCCATTTTCTTATGATTTTGCTGTTTACCTTTGTATTGTCTTTGTAAATTTTTATTAAACATTTTTTTTCTTTTTATTGGGGTTATTTATACAAGAGTTGGAAAGATCTGGTATTGTGTATATAACTGTTTCACCCTTATTATATTATTCAGACTTTACTTTTTAGCTGGTTGTAGATATATTTTTTCATAAAAGTAAAGATATCTACGATTTCAGTGACAAAAAAGCAAGCAAAACCGAGCAAAACCTTTATAAATAAATAATTTTACTTTACTTTTATTCTACAGCACCATGTGGAGGACACTTAACAGCTTCAAGTGGGTTAATATTGCCTCCAGGCTGGCCTGGCTATTACAAGGATTCATTAAACTGTGAATGGGTGATTGAAGCAAGAACTGGACATTCAGTTAAAATCTCTTTCGAAAGGTAGGGCAATATATGCTGTCAGCTTATGGTATGCTTGCAGACTTAATGGTTAGATTATTTTAATTTGCTTTATACAATACCCATATATACATTTATGAATTACATGATGGCTATGATATACTGTATATATCTTGACATTTTGGGGTTCATGTACTAAGATAGTGAATGTTCACTTAGCTTTATGCATTAAGAAAAGTTATGCAGGGAAAAAACAATTTCACCAACATGTGACTGAAGTGAAAACAACTTAACTTTATTAAATATAACAAGATTCTATTCCTTTAGTAAATTATCCCCATGGACTTACAACAAACTTGTTAGGACTGACAGGCTAGTGTTTTACAGTCATTGTATGTAACTGTTTTGCATCCTAATAAGCTCCTAGATTTAGCCTTAAGTTGGGTTTTACATGCAGTGCCTTCTTGATATTGGGGGTTCCAGCAGATTTTTCAGGTTAACTTACACTCCCATTGTAAGCACTACAACATACAGTATATGTGAAAAGGGTCTACCACAGTAATTTTACTAAAGCTGATCTTTCATCAAAATCTGAAGTCCACTTAAAGTGATTCTAAAGGTTCATTCTTTTTTTTTTTTTTGTAAAATAACAAACATGACTATACTTACCTACTGTGTGCAGTGGTTTTGCACAGAGCAGCCTGGATCCTCCTCTTATCAGGTCCCACACAGGCTCTCCTGGCTCCTCCTGTCTGTTGGGTGCCCCCACAGCAAGCAGCTTGCTATGCTCCGTGTGTCCATTCACACACGGAGCCGCAGCTTGGCTCCACACCCTCTCTTTTCATCATTGGCTGACTGGCAGTGATTGACAGCAGGTGGAGCCAATGGCTCCCACTTACTGTCTCAGCCAATGAGGAGCCAGAGAGCCAGGGCACTGGATCACGATGGGGCTCAGGTAAGTATTGAGGTGGCTGGGGGTACTGCTGTAAAAAACTTTCAGCCTTTACAACCACTTTAACTTTTTTATCCCCCATGTAAAAATTAGTGTTATCATAGATTAGGAAATATTACACTGGTGTTCTTAATTATCACGAGTGTAATACTGGCAGTAATTATTTTAAATCCATTTCATATTGATTCTAAAAGTGGTAGAAAACTACCTGAATCTGGCACACATATCAGAAAGCTGTTATAAAGTTGTTGCAAAACTTTACCTGAATTAGGTGCAGGCCATTTCACCAACAGACCATACCACCAGAAAAAGTGCCATAACTGCTTTAAAAAAATGCCCCTCTTGTTTTGTTTACTTTCCATGTTTAGTTCTGCTTTAATATACCAAATCAGGCATTTATTCCCAGATTCGACAAACCTAAATGCCAATATTCAGATTTAAAATGTGACGAACAGCAATTTTCTTTGCCATACTGAATCAGGGGAAAAAATTGCATATGTGGTATCTACCTGTATATGGAAATCGTATACAAAATACCTATTCTTTATCATAGTTTAATCTTTTTATACAACAAATCATTGCAACATAACCCAGGAAATCTGGGAAATTTAAAATTGGCTATAAACAGTAGCTATTGATGCCAGGTTAAATCATTTTAATAGAGAAATATGTTATCATTCAAGTCTATATTTAATAACTCCACATGCTTTGAAATTAGTTTCGGTGACAAATGTGGTTTATAAGCAGTTTAATCAAGATTATGATTATGCAGCTTTTATCTTTTTTGAAATCCACATCTTTATACTAATCTGTGCTGACAAGTATAATAATATTGTACAATGTTCTGGTTTTATAGTTCAAGAGGTTAACATCTCTACAGACGAATCTGAATAGTATTCACTGAACAGTGTTATATTGTATCAAGAGAGGGTGTCAGCTTGCTGGTAAAAAAAAGATAGCCAGTGGAGAATGATTTCATGCTTCATCATCTGTCATAAATCTAAGCCCTAAAGATTCAAGGAGCAGAAAATTGTTAACGCAAGGTTCTAGAAAAAAATGTAAACAGACATGCTGGGCCATGTTGTGTTTAACTCCATTGCAACATCATATTGATTGATCTGGAAGGTGATACACATTAAAGTGAATCTTTTAGCAGGTTTCTATAATCAAGGCTTAATTAACAAGTGTAAGTGCACAGTATGACTTAGAGCAGCAGGGATAAACATATCACTTATTCTGTATCAATTAGATAGCTTAGCAAAAGTTTAAACAATGGTATGTACTTTGGTATAGTTAAATTAACTGTTTGCTCAGTGATTAATACTAATAAAATTGTTATGCTTAAAGTGATGCTAGAAACTGCAGAATACATTTAGTTCTGGGTAGTTTTGTTTCATTATTGCAGCTGTTGTCTTAATTTTAATAGAGTTTTGTTAGCTTAACCACTTAAACACCAGAAGGTTTTAGCCCCTTCTTTATTTGCTATTCAGCACTGAGTTACTTTAACTTGTAATTGCACCATCATGCAGTGCTGTACCCAAATGAAATTTGTATCATTGCTTTTCACACAAATATAGCTTTCCTTTAGTGATATTTGATCTCCATTGGGTTTTTTTTATTTTTTAATATATAAACTAAAAAAGACTGAACATTTTGAAAAAAAAATAATATTTTTTACTTAAAAATGAAGAGCAGACCTTCTGCGCTAAAACGGAGCCCTATCCCTATAGCTGCTGACACTTAACCTCCTACCAAAGTGAGAACAATAAGAATAAATAATAAACTTTATTTTTTATTTGCACATTTTGCACTGATTCAGTGCACATATATAATTTTTTATTTATTTATTTATATAAATATTTTTTACTTTCCGCTATAAACATTTAACATACCATATCCAATAAAACATGTAAAAACTCAAATTTCTTCATAGAAATGTAGGCCAAAATGTATTCTGCTACATGTCTTTGGTTAAAAAAAAATGTATATTCATTGGTTTACATGAAAGTTATAACATCTACAAATGATGGTACTGTATATATACTGGATTTTTTTTTCATATACTAATAATGGTGGCAATCAATGACTTATATGGAACTGTTATAGTATGGAAGGCAATCTGACACTAACTGACACTGGGTGGGAAGTAAAAAAAAATTACACTGACATCTCCAGTGACACTAATACAGTAATCAGTGCTAATAATATACACATGTACTAATGACACTGGCTGGGAAGGAGTTAATATTTAAGGGCAATCAAAGGGTTAATTTGTGCCTACCAAAGTTTACTGTGTATAGTGTGTGCTGTTTTTACTATGCAATGTGCCCTTTTTTACTTGCTGCTTTGCAGGGAGAAAAAAAATGGCACATCACTGCTGTCTGTAGAGACTCTATTGATTTAAGTTCTATGCTGAATGACCCAGTGTCCCTTTATAAGTTAGTGTCCATTTATCATAGCAAGTTCATAAACATGAGTTTCATAGGGTCAAACCTTCATTTAAAATACAAAAAATGCTTGCTGATACCCATTTCAGAGCCAGCAGACAGACAACCTGAAGCTCTCTGAAGAGGGAGTCAGTGGATCTTAGTTACTAAAAATGTTTAACTGTGTGTGCAAAAAAATGCATTGACAATATGCATTTAAAGGCAGTCACTTAAATAGATGCAGCTTTTTTTTTAAATAATTAAACTGTAAACCTAATTTTTCTTTTTTTTTTTTTTAAATCATAGTGGCATGTACAATGCTGCTCTTCACAATACCTGTCAGTTCACAAGTAGAATAGTCATTCCAAACCAGTGGCATAACAACTGCCACAGACTAAATATCTTATACTCCTTTGTGCCTCACTGTGAGTTAGAAAGCTGAACATGCTGGTGTTGTATAATACACTGAAGGAGCAGTCATTGCTAGGATGAAAACACTGCTCCTCCTTAAGGTCCTTCTTGGGAAGCACAAAAAGTACAACTGATAGGATCACCAAGGTAAAATATGGAGAAACACAGGGAACAGGTGAGAAAATGGACACGCTGGAAATCACAAGGTAAAGTATTATTTATGTAAGAATAATTTTAAAGTTTAGATGCACTTCAATAATAGCTTTAACACTTAAAACTCACCATGAACTAATTTGCAAGACCACAATTTATGCATCCATATTGCATGTGTCAGAAAAAAAAATTGCATATGACACCATTGGTGTGGTGTGGTAACATTTTAATGAATCACACTCAATCAACCTCTTGTCTCTGTTGAGGGCCAGGGGATTCTTCCCCACATTTAGTCCCTATGAGGATGTGTTGCTGGTAGTGGGGACTTATAATAAGGTGCCCCTGGACACTTATGAGTACAAGGGTACATTAGTACACCCTACTAATCATATTCTAATATGTGATATGTAATGAACATGCTGACACTGTGAGAACATTTTTTAACCACTTGCCCTCCAGAAGATTTACCCCGCTTCCTGAAAAGGCTATTTTTTGCTATTCAGTACTGTGCTATTTCAACTGGTAATTGCACAGTCATGCAATGCTGTTCTCAAACAAAATTCATGTCCTTTTTTCAAACAAATAGAGCTTTATTTTGGTGGTATTTGATCACCACTGGGTTTTATACTTTCTGAGATATACACGAATTTCTACTGTACTTTCTGTTATAAAAAAAACCTTAAAGTTAGTCATAAATTTAGGCCAAAATGTATACTGCGACATGTCTTTGGTGAAAAAAAAAAAAATCCCAAAATGTGTATATCAATTGGTTTGTGTGAAAGTTATAGCGTCTACAAACTATGGTAAATATATGATTTATGAGTTTTTGCTCTCTGACTGCCTATCACATTTCTTGAGGTGCTAAAATGCCAGGACAGTACACCCCCCCCCCAATTACCTCTTTTTGGAAAGTAGAAACCCCAAGGAATTTTCTGAGAGGCATGTTGAGTCCATGGAATATTTTATTTTTTGCCATAAATTTTTAGAACATTAAATTTTTTACACAAAGTTGTCACTTAAATGATATATTGCTCATGTATGCCATGGCTATATGTGGAATAACACCCCAAAACACATTCTTCTACATCTCCCAAGTATGGGGGATACCACATGTGAGAGATTTTTTGGCAGTCAGGCTTTTCTCATATCACTTCCTCACTACCTATCACAGTTTCAGAGACCCTAAAATTCTAGGATAGTACAAACACCCCCTCCCCAACTTACCCCTTTTTGGAAAGTAGACAATCCAAGAAATTTGATAAGAGGAATGGTGAGTATTTTTCAGATATTTTTGTCATGGGTTTTGAAAATTTCTGTTTTCTTTCTTCATTTTCCAAAAACTTATGGCAACAAATGAGATCTTCAAAATACCCACCATGCCCCTTAGAAAATACCGTGGAGTGTCTAATTTCCAAAAAGGGATAATTTTGGGGGGGGGGGATGCTTCTACTATCCTGGCATTTCAGGGCCAACATTAGAAGCTTCCTCCACACATCACCCACTCTTTTAACCACTTGAAGAACAAGCCTTTTCTGACACTTTTTGTTTACATGAAATACATTTTTTTTTTGCTAGAAAATTACTTTGAGCTCCCAAATATTATATATTTTTAAAAGCAGAGAATAAAATGGTGGGTCTTGAAATTTTTTATGCCACAAAAACATATTAATGCACAAAAACACAATATGTTGCCCAGTTGTTTGATACAAAAAGGGACAGTGTAAAAACAAAAAGAATCAAAAATGTAAAAAATAATTACCCCAACCCCACCTTTCCATGTTTATGCACAAAGACGAATGCAAGCATCGGTCCCTTATTAGTATGTAAACAGAGATTACACCATGCATGTGAGGTATCACTGCGAACGTCAGATCAAGGGCAGTAATTCTCACACTAGACCTCCTGTGTAAATATAAAGTGGTGACCTGTAAAGGCTTTTAAAGAGTCGCCCATCAATATTAAAAATGTGCATAGTTTGTCACCACTACATGGACATGCACAATTTTAAAGCATGTCATATTTGATATCTATTTACTCAGTGTAACATCATATTTTATCACTTTTATTGTAAAAGTAAATGTAAATATCCCCTTTGATAGCAATAGGCAATGACAGGTACTCATTTCTGAGAAATCTGGGGTCTATTAGACTCTAGATCTCTCTTCTGCCTTTAAAGCATTTGACCACACCAAGATTGGTGTTATCAGATGCTTTACCAGTTTAAAAATGGCGCTGTTAGTGTCCAGCAAAACCAGGAGCGATGTACCCAAACGTCGGTTTGCCTCTAGCAGCCGCCCATCCACAGTACATTGCGGGAGAGAAGGTGGGTGGCAAGCGGTTAATGAAGTTCCAGAAAAAAAGGTAAACCATGCCCTTTGATATAAATCCATCATTAATTGTGTTCTCTGATAATGAAAATCCATCATAAATCACAATGTCCTGCCACTCAGCTATGTTGCCCCACTGCTAGATGATGTTTCCCCTCCACCACGACAAACTGCCGCATGACGATGATTCTTAGCCGCACACCAACCCTAAATGACAGAATCATCGGCAGGGGTAGCATAAACACAGTTCAGAGGATCCTAGGTGACATCATTGACTAATCATAGTCATGGCCATATTTGATCATTTTTGTTTCCCAGGATCTCCAGCTGCTTTGTATGCATTATAGCAACCAGGGACTCAGATTAACTGGCCACATATTGCCATTTTGTTCAGTGATTCCTCAAACTTTGATCAGACTGTTCAGGTAAGGCAGGCAGGCAGTCCAGGTGATCCCAAAGCACATTTCTAATACAATACATGGCCGAACACACCAAGAATACTATTGTCACACATCCTTTCTTGGGCTAGATTCACGTTAGATAGACAACAGATAATCCTAAACACTTTCCCCTGGGCCTACTGATACCATAATATTGTTTGGGGGGCTTTGTTGTGGTACAAAAAGCAACAAAAATTTAATACAAAGCCTAAGTTCTTCTACAAACTTTATCACATATATCCTTGAGTATGACCACTCTTCCTATCGCTTTACATGACGAAGCACGAGCGCAGGGGATATGTTTTATGATGCATTTACACCCCATACTATACTATATTGGCTCAACCTTATTGTACTTTTTGTTTCAGTGCATTACTGTAAACTGCTGTGTCTAATTGTGCTTATTTCGCTTAGGCACCCTGTACATGTCTCTTACCATTATCTTTCATATATCCTTGAGTAATGTCACTAATCTTCCATCATCCCTTGATTTTACAGGGTTTTTTTTAGGTTAATTTCAATCACTTTTCTTAGAATCCAGACATTATTTAGTGAGAAAGCTCTCTACAACCTTTACTGAAATCTTTTTTTGGAATATCTTCTATGTTAATTCTGTATGGGGAGTACAATTTACATAACTCTTGTAAGGAGTCCTTTTTCAGTCAGCAGATGTGCATCTGAGCATCATTTTTGTCTACCAGCTAGATGCATTCTGAATACACAATAAAAAAATAATTATCTTACAAAATTGCATAACTGTACTATCCTATATTCAACATTCATTGTTCTTTACAGCTTCCATAACAAGGTTTTGCATTCCTTCCTATATAGTCCATTCCAGCTGAAAGTATGCTGGAAACTCCTATCAGATATTTCTAATCAACATCAGATTTTTCTTGGGTTATATACCTGTACATCATATATTACCGGTATGAAAACCTTGCAAGGAATCATATGGGATAAATCTATTGCAAACCCATACCTGCTTGTGGGAGTCCTTGGTTAAGTGATGACATTTAAGAAAATGATGCCATTCTTAATAACCAAAATGGACAGTGGCTTGGTACCTTGCCCCTTTTAGGTCATATTTGTATATTTACACATTTTCCATTTGACATTATATTATACAACTTAACATTTCTCAGCTGCATGACATACTGTTCAATTTGACATTGTATACAGTGGTCGGACAAGATGCTCTTGCACCAGAGGTGAAGATGTCAAAGTAAACCCTCCTTCCCTAGAGCTGAGAAGGACTGGGCTTGCATTTCCACAAGTTCAGTTGCTGGAAAATGGAAAAACAGGAGGCAGGATGTTGCAATGGGGTAAAACTACTGCAATTCTTTTCATTATGAGCAGCATAAAACAGATCCAGATTTTCACTAACATTATGATAACCAAAATAGTTTCTTCCATCTGGGAGCTAAGGTAGTTTAAAATGATCCTGTGTAAATTTTTATTTTGTGATTTGCACCTTTCATGAAGGCACTAAAATTATTTTTGGTACTAAGCATTTCTTAAATTTAATGCTACAAAACAAACAAATGCAATTTTTAAAGTTTGTTTGTAAACATAAAAAGGCTAAGATTAGAAGGGGCTGAAAGGATTAATACAAAGTAATAAGCACTAACTAAAGCTTAACGAGGGGTAACCTTTTTTGTCATTTTTGTACACATTGCAAGTAACATTCATTTATAAAAATAAGTTTCAACTGTAGCAGAACTGAGCTATAATACTGACAGCCTAGCCCTGCAGATCACACTGTGAAAATGGCTTTCCTGGTGTGATCAGTGGAACTGTGCTGTCACTTTTACAGTCAGTCAATTGTTTTCTCATACCATACAGAGCTCCTGATTCAAAATGGGGCCAGCTTCCACACTGACAGCACAACCCCTGACTACACAAGGGAAGCTGCTGTCCAGTGTAAACAATGCTAATCTGTCAGTGTAACAGCACCTAAGGTGGGTGCCTCGCCTGCCATTGTATTGAGTTGTCTCTGATTGCGTAACTTGGTCACCCTAAGTGGGGACAATTGTCTACCTAATCTCAGTGGTATTTATACCTGTTAGGATCTGAGCAATAATGAAATGTAGGTGGTATATGATGCTTCTTTTATTAACAACAGTCATTCCCATACCATATAATTGCATATATTGCTACAATTAATAAATACATACTGCTATTTACTTGCATTTCTTTAGATTTCAGACTGAAGTTAATTATGATATTCTGGAAGTACGGGATGGGCCAGCCAATTCATCACCATTGATTGGCGAGTACCATGGAACACAAGCACCACAATTCCTTATTAGTACAGGGAATTACCTGTATCTTTTATTCACAACAGATAACAGTCGTTCCAATGTTGGCTTTCTAATCCGATATGAAAGTAAGTAATAATTTGCTATAATTAAATTTTTTGAATTAAAGATTGTTTTCATTTTTGCTAGCATTACATATCTGAGCATGTTAACTGTAATGACTGATCATAATATTCATAAGTTAATTTTTCAGGTTTACCCTTTGTAATTAAATAAAATGCCATAACTATAGAATATTTCTATATTCTCCCATTTAGTGGCAATACTTTGAATCCCATTTTTTATTTTATGTTTTGTGATTCAACAGGGGTGTTTTAAAAGGAAGACTATTTTCTGATGATAATGCTGGGTAATTTGTGATAGTTATAGGTGAAAATACACTCTAATAAGATATTAAGATATATGGTTTTGCAGGCATTATTAATGAATTACATCAAACAAAATCATAACCTAAAGTTAACACCAGGCTAATGTAAAAAAATAAACTTTAATTAGCTAAAATATGTAATAACTAACACATATTATAACCTATTTTTAAATTCAGATAATGTTATAAGTTGAGTGTAACTTGGTAAAAGCCTTTTGTACGTAATCCTTCTACACAGCAGAATTTAGACTGGGATAGGGAGAGGCAACATTTGGGGTCAGAGAGGTGTTCTACACTGCTCTGTACTGACAAAAAAAATCATGGTAAGAGGAGAGAGCAGAGGACTGAGTTATCAGTATGCTATTGTCCCATATCTGTCCAGTCACGAGCTTTGAACACAGAGGATACCCAATTCTATAGCTTAAACTGCAATATGGAAAAATTAGGTCACGAAGCTAGCTGTACTTGCTGGCATACTGAGTGTAAATATCAGTAATGAATGAACAGAAATACAAATTGTCATAAAACAGCTCTCATTATACAGTATATGTCTATAAAGCATGCGCCTAGGTTTTAAAAACAGAAAAAACTCCTTACCTGTGAAATGCTTCAGTTCTAAAATATATTATAGCACTGTGATGACTTTGAAGGGATGGAAAATGATCTTTTGTAAAGGAGCTGAATTGTATTAAGCAAATATTCAAATAAGAATGAGTGAATATCACAGCACCCCCAGGAAGAATAGCTAGTATTAACCTTTTGCCAGCGTAAATGAGCTATAGAGGAAAATGTTACTAAACCTTTCATATATTAGATATGCCCTCTTTCTTTATTGGTTTCAAAGTATTGTATTATTTACATAAAACATTTTAAAAATCGTGATTTCAATACCATGTAAAAATCTGACATGTACGTTTTCATTTAATTTAGTATGCATAAATATATGTTGAGTAGAAGTCCTTAAATAAAAACACATTGAAAATGCATAATTATAAAATATTTTTTTTTATATTGTCTTTATTTTTAGCTATGACAACATGTAATTTTTCTAAATATACAATAGCATAAATATAAATATACAATAGCCTCTTAGTAGCACCAAAATATTGTGAAGCGGGATATTTGATTCACCTCTCCCCCCTGTTCCACTCATTGTGCCACTGTTTCCAGCTTATTTTATCCTGCAATTCCATTTGTGTTGGGCCTTTAGATATCTGTAGAATGAGTTAGCTATCATGCGCTGTTGGATTTAGAAGTGAACATTTTAAACCAGTAAAATTGGGGCACTTGGTTAAAGGCTAACTCCACCTTTCAGACCATATATTACAGACTTGTTTAGGGTGTAACTTGTAACATGATGCTAATGTTGCAGCTCCAAATTGCCCCCTTGTAACAATACGAGTTATTCTCCCCTGATACAGCTGCCATTTTGAAAATTTGCATGAGTGTGTGGAGCTCTGCCTTTTGAACATGGTTAGTAGAAGTGAGGTGAACCTTCAACTGGAAACATTCTGTATAAAACAATGAAGACACTTTTTAAAAGTCACTAAGAGTTAGAGCATTTTCCAGTTTTTTTAAATTATCTGTGTACTTGGTAGGGGAAATTTTCCCTTGTTTCCATTTTGTGTCACTAAAATACAGATGGCAGTACATATCTGCTAAGGGGTCCTAACCCTTTTTCTACTATATAAAAACTTTTTTTTCTGGAATACCACTTTAAAATCAGCCTTTTACTGTATAGTATACATAAATCTTACAAAAAATATGTCCAGTCCTCTTCTTTGCATTCTTGAAATCCAACAGGTACATTTTAATATATGTACTGTTTGTATGAATATTTTCCGTAAATATTTGTTTGTCCTACATTTATTGACCAGTCATTTCTTGTATTTGAGAATATCTTCTAATTCAATACTTTGCGTCTTTATTTCGTTTTGTTTAATGTGTGTTTTTTCTGTTTATTATTGTCTTTGCACCAACTGTCTTATTTTAAACAATTATATTTTTATGATACATGTAATATACAGTATATAGAATATCTAGCTATACTGTCTGCATAGATTTTACTTAACATAAAGATATTCTCTAATCCCAGCATGCAAAAGATATAGATTTCTAACTACTATATGTGATTCTGGAAATACATAATCTAAAAGTAATGTTCAGTAATATGTATACTACAGGTGTTACTCTAGAATTAGATTCATGCCTTGATCCAGGCATTCCAGTAAATGGTCACCGGCATGGAAAAAACTTTGGCATTGGCTTTTCTGTGACTTTCACTTGTGATGCTGGGTACATTTTAAGTGATGATGAACCACTGGTTGTGAGGAAAACCATCAGTGGAACCATGCCTTGCCTAGTTGTGATGGTAAGTGTTATTATCTTCTTGAGCATTTCCTGGTTAGGTTTTATTTTAACCACTTGCCACCCATCCACAGTAGTTTTACTGTGGGTGAGTGGCACAGACAGGCCAGACAACATAACTGTACATCTCTGCCTGCTTCTGAGCTTTTGGGCTTACACTTGAGCACAAGTTAATCAAAAGGTTTTAGCCAATGATTTTGTCTGAAACCCAGTGATCAGCTGAGTCAAATCACACGGCCAATCGCCATTTAGAAACAGCATCATTTAAAAACAGCAAAGCGATCAATCTGGCTGTTCTCCCTGCAAAGCAGTGAGAAAAAAACAGGCAAGTATTTTAGTAAAAAAGAACATATTACACTTGTCAGGCACACCATTAACTCCTTGATTTCCCCTTGATGTTAACCTCTTCCAAGCCAGTGTCATTATTGCAGTGTACAATGTACAGTATTGTATCTGACCACTGTATTAGTGTCACTAGCAGCCTCAGTGTCAGTGTAGCACCAGATTGCCTTCCACACTATCACAGTCCCATTACCCATTACAAGTCACTGATAATGCACTATAGCCACCACGCATCTATAGCTGTGTAAATTCCATTATTTATACCGAAGTTTGTAGATGCTATAACTTTCACACAAACCAATTAATATAAAACTTATTGGAATTCTTTTAACCAAAGACATGTAGCAGGATACATTTTGGTCTAAATTTATGAAGAAATCTGATTTTCAGAATTGTTTTTACTGGATATGTTTTTATGACAGAAAAAATCTAATTTGTTTTCAAAATTTTCGGGCTTTTTTTGTTTATATAATAAAAAAATTAAATCTAGTGATCAAATGCCCCCAAATGAAAACACTATTTGTGTGAAAAAAAGTATAAATTTAATTTGGTAAAGTAGCGCAGTGCTGAGTAGCAAAAAAATGGCCTTGTCATGAAGGTAAAACCTTCCGAAGGTCTAGTGGTTAAATACCAATTTCTAGAAGTGAAATACAGTATGTTAAGTCATTATAACCTTATAGTTTTCTCTGCTCTAGGAAACATTTGTGCTCAGATTACAGATATCTGGATAGATAATTTCAGTACTAAACTATTCTGTTGATGAATAGCCATCAGCATGACATTTGAAGGACATCAACACTCAGGCAGAAAGGTACCTATATACAGTGCAGGTCAATGTAGGACAAGAATCCAAGGCTTTGCTGATATCTGTGCCTGTACTGTAACAATAATTTAATTGTTTTCTGTGTACTGTCTTTTTTTATCCTACTCTGAAAGATAATAATTTTCCAATGAATGCAATGGAATCACTTTACTGAATATATTAGTAGGGAATTGAAAATAATCCTATATGAACAGAAAGGTGTTTGTCCAAGGGACCACTTGGTGATTTTCTTATGTTGTGAATGTTTATAAGTCTGCTTCATAAATAAAGAATACCCACTCCTAATGAATAATTCAGCAAGGTAGTTTAGCCTTTGCTTCAACTATGCACCTCTACTGGGAAACTTGCATTATTCTGGCATAATAAACAACACAGGTGTCAAGTTAAAAATATATATTTTAAGTAGGTATAATTATGTCTAAACATTGACCTGTTTATCAAATTTAATGATCTGTAGCTGAGTAGCTCAGCTAAATGCTAGCAATTTGTTAATTAGACCTGGTAGTCAATCATTTAATTATTGCTAGTTATACCTTTAAAAAAATCATCACTAAAAACTTGTACAGTCAAACATATGTTTTCTACAAATTCACTATATGTGGATATATGCAGTTAAATGTTTTAACCAACGGATGGTGAATGAATCAGTCAAACTATCTTCTGTCTTAATTTAATTCCACTGAGTATCTTGTCTGCAAATTATATACCTTGCAAAAATTAGATTTTCTTGAATTTCAAGGATTTGTGTGTGTGTGTGTGTGTGTGTGTGTGTGTGTAGGGGAATGTGTGTGTGTGTGTGTGTGTGTGTGTGTGTGGGGGGGGGGGGGGTTGTTAATGCCATTCTAAATTAAAAGCAGAAAGAAGTAAGTGTAGACTAGAAGTTTGTAACATCTACACACATTTTGATGAAATACAGGCCACCTGGTAATCTCATAGGTTTGCAGTTTGGCAAACAGAATGATAGTGTGGTTAGAGAGCATCAGATACAGACATTCTAAATAAGGCAACAATCTAACATGTGTCATCTTTGTTTGCAAGTACAAATACATTCAGGGTATCCAATTGGCAGGTAGATTCCACTGTTGTCAGTGTATAAATGACATGCATTTGCAAGAGATGTCTCTTTACAATTCAGAAAATTGACTGTCACTGTGGTAATTGGAGTGGATGTATCAGAAGCAGAATGCTACTGGCATTTTTGCCTAGGACTGCACAGTATACAAGATTCATAATAGGGTATATACTTCAGTGTAGCTGAGCTGCACATCTTATATTTGCCCTGGGTGCACCGCTGCGTGCTTGTACTTGAGCCACTGTTCTAGGTGTCCATAAGACACATAGAGCCTCGTCTCAGCCCCGCCCCCCACTCTCTCCTCATTTGCAAACTGGCTGTGATTGACAGTAGTGGGAGCCAATGGGATCCTGCTGCTGTCTCAGCCAATGAGGAGGAATTGTCACTAGACAGTAAAGGCTGTTGAGAATGTCACTGGATTGTAGGGGGCTCAGGTAAGGATTGGGGGGGCTGAGTTGGGGGTTCTGCACACAGAGGGTTTTTTTACCTTCATGCACAGAATACAAAAAAAAACCTTTGAGCCTTTAGAACCACTTTAAGAAGTCATGGGAGTAGGAAGATAATAATGATTATACATATTAAAAGCTTTTAATAATAGCTGACCCTTTGGGTGGCCAAACATGGCCAATCAACAGTATGGACCAATTTATATCTAACCTGCTCCAATGAAGTGAAAATTAGGCCTTGTAGGCCAAGGGATCAATGATAAAAAAATGTTTTATTGTTATCACATACAGTCTTTTTTTGAACTATTGAAAATTTGTAGTGTGACAGGCATACGTCTTCCATTTTTTTAAAAAGAGAAGGATGAGTTAACTGACCCTGAACCATTGCACAGCATCAGCTGAGTTGCACAGAGGAATGTTGTGGGTTTTAGGAAGGCTTTAGAATGTCTGACCATCCAGAAAGCTTGCATTCATAAGAATATGTGAACATCTTAAAAAGTAGGATTTTATATATGATTAAAAAAAGGATATATCACACATCAGTATTATTTTGAATATTTGTATGCTTTGAATTATTTGCAAGTATTTGATGAGTAGCATTTACTTGTTAAAGTAATGGAAAATATCCGACTCTGATTTACTGTAAATAACATCCCTTTCATGTGTTTCAAAACTGTTCTTTATGTTTTAGAACATAATAATATTACTTTGATTCCCTTTTTTATATGCAGCTTTATGTGGAGGATATATTCATGGTAAGAGTGGAACAATACTTTCTCCAGGTTTTCCTGATTTTTACCCCAACTCTTTAAATTGTACGTGGACAATAGAAGTATCTCATGGAAAAGGTATTGATATCTGTTTTTACTATTTAAAAATATTTTGGGATTGTTATTGTGTTTTAAATATAAATTTGTCACATACTTCCATTGATTCAGTTTTACAATAATATTTTTGATTAAAAAGGTGTAATTAAAATCTGCACTATTGTGCCTAAAATCAGTTACTAGCAGCAGTGTGAATACCTTAAATATGTAAATACTAAGAAACAGTGCTTATTGCCAATATTATGCTGGGTGGAGTTGAGTACTTACTCTGAACGATTTAGTTACACTTTGGGATTATTATACACTATAATTGATTATTGATGTTTATATTTAGTTATATATTTTTACAGGTTGCACTTTATATATTTGTATAAGATACATGATATTTGTCCTTAATTTTCTAATATAATTATTATGTTAAGCACTATTTGAAGAATTATTATCACAAGCAAAGAAGTTATAGTATTATCAGGAAATGAATCCCATGTATTGTGTTGACTGCATTGCATTCAAATTGCAATGTATTGGAGTAGCAAGATTGTGAAGCAAAGCAGCAAGCTTAATAAATGTGAATTCAAGGATACAGATGGGTTGGTTCGTAGTTAGTTATTCCAAAATTCTAAAAGACTGACAGATGGCTGGTAATATGGTTTAATACTGTTAATGAAAGATACTGTTATGTGAGTGCCACCTTACAGCATGTCTTATACATGAAAATGTTTTGTCCTTCTAACAGGCTAATGCAGCCTTCCAGTTAGACCCCTCACCCTTTCACTTAAACAAGACCAGAATTATACTTGTTCCTGAATAAATCCGTGGAAAAGTTCTTATGTCAGTCCAGACACAGGATACAGTATATATGAAAGCCAACAAATACATTCTTAATTCTTATTCTGCATAGATTATATCACATACATAAGCCAGTATGCTTAAAGATCAACAAGGACTCGTAATCCAGTAACCCTGTAAAGGTCCTCCAAATCTTCTGCAAACACTTGCAGAACCATGCTCTGAGAAGGGAACATTTCATGATGCTCAAGCTACTGACCTTTTTTCCAACCTTACTCTTCCAACTCTTTCTAATTCTCAACATGCTACCCTGGGAAAACCTATATCAAAATTGGAGGTCCTCAATACCATCCTGTCCTTAAAATCTAATAAATGCCCTGTTGGCTTCACTGCCAATTATTGCAAAAGGTTCACTTGCCTTCTATCACCACTTCTAGTTAATGCTTATAATTCCCTCTTAAATGGACATTCTTTTTGATCATATTCATTGACAGCTATCATCTATATGTTACTCATTTGACAAAACTTCCTGAAACAATTATAGACCCATCTCCCTTCTTAATTTGGACATCAAAATCATGGCACAAATCTTGTTTACATGATTAAACCCAATCATTGGCTCTTTGATCCATAAAGATTAGGTAGGTATTAGCCCCTTGCAACAAGCTGGAGACAATGTCCGTAGAGCAGTCTTACTGGCACATGCAGCTTGTTTGTTGTATGTGCTAGCATGGGTCAAGATTAAACCAGATCTGTCCAAAACCATCCTTATTTTTCCCCAAAAAATCAAGGTTGGCCTTGGGTTATCAAACTTTGTCAAGTATTACCAAGCGGCACATTTAGCCCAACTTCCTAAATACCAGGCTGTGAAAGATGTCCCACTTTGGATCACAATGGAGTCCTTGGACTGTGACCCCTTGTCGGTTGTTACGACCAGAGGACCATCAATCACTCCAGACCCAGTCACCTGACATTACTTAACTATCTGGGGTAGTCTTAAATCTCAATATGCCCTGCAGTCTCCTTATAATCCTCTTTCTTCCTTCCTTCATAACCCGAGCTTTTAACCTGATTGGACCTCCCCTGCTTCATTTTGTATTTGGTCCTCAGCTATTCTTTTCCAGGCCTACAAATTCACAACTCCAAAAGCTTTTATACCTTTCCTGACCCTTTGTGAAACTCATGGTAATCCTAGTTCAGAATGTTTCAGATATCTTCATGATTAAACACTTCTCTCCCATTTGGCACACTGACCCTCTCTGATATGACTAGTTTGGAATGCATTTATAAATGTGGCCCTCACATCCAATGCCTGATCTGCACTCTTTGCATCCAGTTGTTAGCCTCACCATTTCATACCTTCCTTCCTAACCTGGTAAAATAGGAACGAGATTTGGGTCTGCAATTGGAAACAGTAGGAACAACATCTGGTGTGCAACAAAGTCTTCATCCCAAAATATAGTAAGAAAACAAACCATTACAGGGTGTGTAAGTACAAACAACTGTGGAAACAATGGATGAACCATTATATACCCACTGACTTTCATGAAACGCTACTGTCCCCTTGGCATATGTATCGGCAAAGAGTTACCCCTCGAGTCCCCTTGTTTACATCTCCCCCTGGGGTCCCTTTCCTCTTCTCTACCCTTTCCTAACACTTCCCTTTTCTACTTTCTGACACTATTTCTCTTTTTGCTTCTTTGCACCATATACCTCACATGTTCCCCTATTTTAGGGTACTTGCCTTCTTGGTTATTACTTTCAGCAGGGTTTGTTATGCATCCCATTAAGATACCGATAGACCCTCAGTGTACGTGGTGCTCCCTCTTGTCGCCTCACTTTTTCTGCAATCATCCTTCTAATGTTTTGCACATGTTCTTCAGTTCAAGTGGCCTCAACTATGTGCCTATGCTATTTGTATACTATATCACTCTAACATACATTTCTTTGACTTGTTGAGGCACTAGTGGTTCACCAAGTTGAACTTAATAAGTAGAAGGACCTATTTGTACTTCTGACTACCTTTGCAAATGTCTGTTGATCTCCTTTAGGTTGCATCCCTACTGACATAATGCTACTTTATGAACCCTTCTGTTTGGATTGTTTCAGGTTTGAAAGTCTGAATTATACCTGTTACCTTGTTACCTTTCAATAAAATTATCTGAACAGCAAAAGAAAACATTTCGTTCACTTCTGAACTCTATACTGGTTGTCATTATCTGTAAGATTTAGCTATCACCAAGGGTGGACAAATATTTGTTTTGTTTCAGCTACCTACACAGTAAATACGAAGGGAGCAATGGGAGAAAAATTAGCACATGTATAGACATCTTTATTTAGATGAGTATTCAAAGGATAAATGTACATATAAGTTACAATAATTACTTTACTATGTGGCAATCTTTATCAGTTCAGTTCAACTATCCTGTATGATATATGTGAAAGTCATCAAAAACAAGTTCTCTGCATGGATTAGCAAAGAGCAAACAAATTTAACTGGGTCTTAGGCATACTCCATTTTAAACAACTGCCCTCAGAATTTCCAGATGATTTCATGATTCGCTGAAAAGGATCCCATGAAGGGTTTTGGAGGATGCCACAGGTATGTAAATGTACCTCCAGGTACCATTTTGTAGCTGCAGCTGTCAGTCACTGCATTATGCTATTTTCAAGGCTAGGCTGGATTACATAAACATAAAAAGCAATATCATGGCGCCTATAAAATCAAATATAAATGTGTAATATGATTTACCAAGTAATAATGAATACTGTCATTTTCAGGCAGTAATAGCAACTGCCCCTATAAAGTGGATAAACACTCAATATAACAAACTATGAATAGATAGTTCTTGCTCAATAAAATAAATATCATATACTTACAAAGTGCTCTCCCAACACCAGTGGGAGTGTATCAGTGTATATCCTGTACCAATTAACTATTCACATGGTGTTGGGAAATCACTTTGTAAGTATATAATATTTATTGTATTGAGCAAGTGCCTATCTATTCATGGTTTGTTGGATTACATGAACTCTTATTTTAGTATTGTGGTCAGAAATCAACCAAGTATGCGTAGAAATATAAAAATTATTATATTTGTTTCAAATATTTTTTAATCAAAGGTACTGCCTAAATAAAAACAATATGCCTGAAATACATACATGATGTCTAAACACATACAAGATACCTGTTTACTAATAGAACCTCCTGTGTTTGCTTCTCTGAAACTTTTGAAGTGTTTTTTTAATAAGGGTGATTTCCCTGACTTTAGAATCTTGCCCTTCCAACTGCAATTCTCCATTGCAAAAGGAGTGCACTAATTGGCCATTGAATCATTATCATTGGATTGGAGGAGGAGGTAGTCAACAGGGCTTTCCCCTATCAGTAAAGTTAGTTTTAGAGGGGCGCACATAGGATATTAACAAATATAATTGAAGATATTATGTAGTGTCAGAATAAATGTAATGTGTGTCTTTTGCAAAACTAAAGAGTGAAATTAAACAAAAATGTTACTGTGTAGAGTATAGTAGATGATTTTGTTTTTATATACTGGTCTCTGAATGTCAATGCAGAAAAAAATCTTGATAAAACTCAAGTGCACATATACTAGACTTTCTACTTATATGAAATAGAAAAAAAGCTCTTGGGGTCATTTCTTGAACATTAGAAGTACCCGATCTTTTTCTTTTTAACTTATAATTTTTTTTACCTGGGTGTCCTTTCCTTTTGCTATACTATATTGCTATAACAGGCAATACAGTAATTCAATTACAATAGAAATAAAGAGAATCACCTTTTACTCTGTCAGCTTTCTTCTGATTTGAAGTTTTGATTTGATTTTTCTATTTTTGCAGGTGTACAGCTGGTATTTCACACCTTTCACCTTGAAAGCTCCCATGACTATCTGTTAATAACAGAAGATGGCAGTTTTACTCATCCCGTTGCCAGACTGACAGGTTCAGTTCTACCACCCACTATAAAAGCTGGACTTTTTGGGAATTTTACAGCTCAACTTAGATTTATATCAGATTTTTCAATCTCGTATGAAGGATTTAACATCACTTTTTCAGGTAAAAAAAATTCTTATCAAACAGAAACCTGTTTAAAAGTACATTTTTACTGATTCCCAAGACATTTTGACCTGTCATAAATACAATGTATGAAAGAAAGCTTTGTTCTGGGAAAAAAGGTTATATGACTTTTAATACCATTATCTTATACAAAAATGTAATTCTTATTACTTTCTACCCTGAAATTCTCGCAATACTTTATTGAATGAATATCCTTATATAGTAGTGAACAGGTCTCCTGAGACCCTTGATTTGATTTTTTCTACAAATGTTACATGTTACATAAGACTGTCCAAAGCTGCTGACATGTAACAAGACTTTTACAACCTGTAAATATGCTACAGCAGATTTTATGACATGGGGGTCAACTCACTAAAGGTTAATGCATGAGTTAAGTCAGTTACATGGTCACAGGATTCCCCACTGACAGCTGAATGTAAAAAAAATAAAATTGCCAACAATTAAAAAATAACAAAAAAATGGTGTGTGGGTCCCCCACTCCATCCATACCAAGCCCTTCAGGACTGGTATGGGTTTTGATGGGAACCCCCATGCCAAAATGTTTAAAAAAATGGTGTAGGGTCCCCCCAAAAATCCATACCAGACCCATATCCGAGGATGCAGCCAGACAGGTCAGAAAAAGAGGAGATGAGCGAGTGCTCCCCTCCTGAACCATACCAGACCATATGCCCTCAACATGGGGGTGCTTTGGGGCGGCAAGGGAGGCCCCCCAAAAAATCCATACCAGATCCGTATCCGAGCATGCAGCCTGACAGGTCAGAAAAAGGGGGCATGAGCCAGCGCTCCCCTCCTGAACCATACCAGGCCATATGCCCTCAACATGGGGGTGCTTTGGGGTGGTGAGGCTCTCTTCCCCACAACCCTGGCTGGTGGCTGCGGGAGTCTACAGGTGGAGGGCTTATTGGAATCTGGAAGCCCTCTTTAGCAAGGGGGTCCCCAGAACACGGCCCCCTATGTGAATGACTATGGGGTACATGGTACCGCTACCCATTCACAAAAAAAGTGTGGTGTAAAAAAAGACAGGAGACAGTCTTTGACAAGTCCTTTATTAAAAGAAGAAAAATAAAAGAATGTCTCCCAAAGTAGATCCAATGTCAATCACAATGCCTGCTGCCACTGCTGCCCTGAACAATGATTTTAAAAAATCCTCCACTCTCGACGCTGGCTCCCACTATCTAACAGCTCTGCTGGCCTGAGTTAGTCCTTAAATATCTAAGGGGTGGGGCCACCTGGTGACATAACCTGTGTGACCCCACAACTTTGTGACATCATCAACCGAGGCATGGTGGGTAGATGATGCCCATATTGGGGGCATGTGGCCTAGTATGGTTCAGGAGGGTGGGGGCGCTCACTCATCCCCCTCCATTCCTGACCTGCCGGCTGCATGCTCAGATAAGGGCTTGGTATGGATGGAGGGGGGACCCCACGCTGTTTTTTCAAATTACTTTTTGATTGCAGGCAATTTGTTTTTTTTTTTTTTTTTACATTCAGCTGACAGCTGAAACATTAACGCATAATTTTCGCTACTAAAATACCGCATGCCTTGATAAAATAACTCATGCAGTATTTTGGTAGCATTTTTTTTAGTGAATGCAAACTTTAAAAAAAAAAAACGCTGTGCGGTGTCTTACCGCATACTTGGATACAGTAAGATACCACTTAGTGAATCGTGCCCATGATACTTGTAAAACACCAGAATAATTTGATTTTGATTAGCTGTTAGCAAAAAAACATCTAGAATATTGAAAGAATGCAACACAGTATAAATAGATTCAGTGTTCTTGAGAGTTCTACTTACAGTTTACAGGTATCTTAGGGCTGGTGTTTTGGGGACCCACAATGCACTCCTCTGCTTTTTATTATTCATCTTATTTCTTCTATTTCTTAATTTTTTTTTTTTACCTTTTCTTAATATAGTTCTAATAAGGACGGCACAAGGGTATAGAAGCTCTTTTGATACTTAATGCACATTTAATGTGTATTGATTACTTTCCAAGTGCAAGTAAAACTGTAAACAAAATCAATAATAAAACGTGTACAATGTTTTTATTAATTACATGGATTCAGATCTATATTTTCAATTAAGATAAGTTTATATATAAATTATTCAAATACTCTTATTACACTAATCATTATTGCAAGAAATGGATTAACATGTATTTACTTATTTATGTCTTATTTAAGTATTCATGTTAAATATAGTTAACAGTTTGTTTGTTTTTTTTGTTTTTAGAATCTTACTTTTTTAGCTTATTGCAAATGATGTTTTTAAGAATACTTGCATTGTATATTGTGCTTTTAAATATGTAATGGAATTGTTTTGGACTGTACAGAATATGATCTGGAACCTTGTGATGATCCAGGAGTTCCTGCTTTCAGTAGAAGAATTGGATTTCATTTTGGTGTTGGAGACTCTCTTACATTTTCTTGTTTTCCTGGATATCGTTTGGAGGGCTCTAATAAGCTCACGTGTTTGGGAGGTGGCAGAAAAGTGTGGAGTACACCTCTTCCAAGGTGTGTGGGTAGGTGGTCAAATGCTTTCATTTCATTCATCAAATCTTTAGCATCAAAGGTTATTGTTGTTACTGATCATATTCCTATTAGGATGTTTTTCTGTTTTTTTAAAACATTTGAGTGCTCAATACACAGTTGTAGAAAAATGATCATCATGTGTGAATCGTTTAAATACATGTGATATACAGTATAAAGCAATTCTAAGGTCAAACGTTTGTTTATTTATTCCTACCTTAATGCAATTTATATGTTAAAGTTAAAAAATTTCCACTAGCTACTCCTTTCCCCCCTCCTTCCCTAAACACTTAGCTGAGTCCTGTATCTATCTAGTGCTGTGCCCTTCTGCAGTTTTGCAGGCCTATGGATGCATACAGCCTATTTCAGGAGCTAGCCTGCATGTGTGCCCCCATAGCAAACAGCTTTTTCAGGGGGCACACACAGAAAGGGAGTAGAAAGTGCTGAAGGAAACCACAGAAAAGGGGTCATTCTGTGCAACACCATTGCAAAGATCAGGTACGTATAAGCCTTTTTTATTTTAATTAAAAAAAGTTTGACTTTACAACCACTTTAATAAACCATTCTCCCCCCCCCCCCCCCCCACAGTCAGAACATGCTGTACATATTTACTTTTATTTAATAACTTAAACACAAGTACAGAATTGATTTTAATTTACCAGAATGATCATTCTGCAAGTTAGTGCAACATATCTTTTTGTATGTGGCTTTGACACACAGGGGGTTATTTACTAAAAGTTTAGTGTCAACTCTGCATAGAAACCAATCAGCTTCCAGGTTTTATTATCTAAGCTTATTTGAACAAACTGAAGTTAAAAGCTGATGGGCTACCATGCACATATTCTGAGGGCACCAGGTTTAGTAAATCTTCCCTATAAAGTCTGTATGCACAGAAGAAAGCAAGCTCTCCATTGGGTTTTATGAATTCATAATAAAAGCAAGCTCGGCTAAACAAAACAGAGCAGAAAATCTCACTGTGCTATATACAATTTTTTTCTATTTTTATTTTCCATTTTTGCTTATACAGTATCCAATGTATCTGATTTGTTCACCAAACTTATTTTTTTTTTTTTGCATGGTGGGGGGGCCCACTTAAACCCATATCAGATCTGAATATTGGTGGGGACCCTATGTAATTTGTTCAACATGTACAGTTTATCAAAAAGCGAAAAGAAAATAGCTAAGTACAGAAATAAATCAGTTAATTCATGTTTTCCTGCAAGCTTTCTTTATTTTGTAAATAATGCAATGAGGACCCCTCAAAATACATACCTTCTCCTCATCCTCCTTCTTGAGGGTCTGGTACATGTGTTGGGGACATTCCAATTGCACTTTTTACCAAATAACTAGTAAAACTAGCAGGGAAATGTGAACTAACAACACTTTAAACTTTTTTTTCCTTGGCAACTGTCACTTTTTTATGTACATGGTAGATATGAGCCACTTCACAGGCAGGTTTTTTGGGGGACCCAAATACATTTTATAAGAAATAGTGCTTCTTTAATGTTGCATTTTCAGCATGATTAAATTCACTGCTCCCTGCAAAACTGTTTTTTTTTAGGGGGGGGGGGGTGGCATTGGTACATGTTCCCTGGGGCTAATCCTTTGCTTTAAAAAAAAAAAGCCTAAAAATTTAGAAAATTGGTTTGCAAGGTGTAGCTCCCATGGACTTCAATAGGGTTCAGATTCAGCATCCAAACTTCTGATATGTTTGGCTGAACCTCCCCAAACTGAACCTGGATGTGTGAAGCTAATCCCTATTACTATGAGTGATTCAGCAATTTGGGAGTTCAGGCTTTCAGACAAATGGCCAAACTGTTGGTCAATTGCCCCCCGTTTGGCAGGATCTGAAAATCACATATAGAAGCAGTGTTTCTACTGTTTCTAAATATGACAGCATCCCTCTGTCAATGGTTGCTAAGGAAGCAGTGGGTCCCTGCACCTGCTGTGTCTCTAGGAAAGGCTGACATCACTGGAAATCCCCAACCATGTGTCTAAAGAGGCAGTGACATTGACTAAATATGGCAATGGTCATATAAATGATGTCACCACATTCCTACCCCTTTTTCTCACATAGCTGATGACAGTTCTGTGAGCTGTCATTTGGCTGGAGTACCATCAATATCAGTTTTGTGTGCCAGGTAATCTGTTTTTTTTTTTTTTTTTGTGAGTTTGATTGTGGCAGGCATTGTGATTGACGATGGATTTACAAGGATGGACTTTTTGGGGGGATTTTCCTGTTTTTTAAATGAAGGACTTGTTTGGGTCTCTTTTTTTGTAGGTTACAGCTTTTTTTGTGTGAATGAGTAAGGTGGGATGTGGGGGGATATATAAATGTCCCCTTTTCATTAAAGAAATATTCCAATAAGACCCCCACCCTCAGACCCCCACAACCCTGGCTAGAAACCCTTGTCCTCATCAGTATGGGAACAAGGTTCTTTGCCAGAGGGATTCACCCTGGCAAGTCATCACCCATGTTGTAGGCATGTGGCCTGGCATAGGTCAAGGGGGGCACATGGGCACCCCCCCTTTTCTGGCCAGCCAGGCCAATTGCTGGTTTAAGGGTATGGTATTGATTTTTAGGGGGACCTCATGCTTTTTTTTTTTGTGTGGAATACCCCTTACAATGTATAAAAGAATCAACAACATGTACACTAACAAAACAAATAACACAGTTTAAATTTCCAGCAAAGAAACTTTATTGTCAGCTTCCTAAAAAAAAACAGCACACAGACCAACGGTCCCTCAAAATCCATATAAGACTCTTAGTATTATGGAGCATCACAATTACCAGTATGGAATTTTTTCACTGTTTAAGGGCAAGGCTAGTTAAAAGATATGCATTAGAAGCTACTCATATATAAAGACACTAGATTCTATATTCAACAGCCTTGTACTGTTTAGTAAATAGCTACTATTCTCACAGCTCAAGGTCAGTCATTAAAATCCTAATGCTCTCAAGAGAATTTCAAATTCTGTTCTTGTTCAAGGACTATTCTAAAACATTATATTTGCCTCAGCAATTTGAAAACCGTTACTGTCAAAGAGGGTTATCCAATACATTACATTATGCTACATTATGAGTAGCAATGCTAATGAATACCCATTATCACTAAAATGATTAATTTATGCTTAAACATAGCAGAAAATAGTTACAGTATTTTCATTCTACTTTGCAGAAAATGTAATCATCACTTAAAAAAGAATTAGCTGTTTCTCTGCAAGCTTTCAACCCAAATATTTGTAAACATAGGATTTGTTTTTAAATTCAGTATACATGGGGCGCATGCATGGCAGCTAATGATTGCAGATGCATGTTAGACCCACTCAGCTTCACTGCCACTCCTCCTGGCTACTCCACAGCAAACACAGTCTTAGACCAGCAGTGGAGCACAGACACTGCACCCAGAGATTCATATGGGAAAAATTGGGTGCCAGAAACCACTCTCTACGCCCGCCACTGAGCCGCGGCCTAGCCGCACGGAGAAATACATCATGTGCTCTGCATACCTACTCTCAAGTGATCCGGCAATTCCAGCATCACTGACCGCATGGCTGAGGTAATCCGTTCATCAGCATCCATAGCACACTCCTCTCCTCCCTACCTCAAAGAAAGTATTAGATGCTAAACTGCACACTTTATTACAAAATATCTCCCACACCATTCCCAGCTAAAGTGGGGAAGATAGCTCAGGAGCTGAGGGGAAAAATGCACTAGTGGAGGAATGCACAGATCATCTAGAATCCAGATTTGATGAGTTACTCCAATATGTCCAAGTGCTTGAGATAGATAATCATACTTTGAAACAACAGGTCTCTCAGCTCTAGTCTCAGAAGGAAGACCTAGAAAATAGGAAGAGGAGGCAAAACCTACGTATCCGGGGAATGCCAGAGCCAGTAAGGGATGCTCAGCTACAGGACTATTTCATGGGTCTTTTTCATGGACAGAGCCCACCACACCCTGGCTTCTAAACTGCCAGAGCAGGAGCTGGGCCTAGAGACATCATCATCAGGTTTCACTATTATGACAATAAAGAGACTTTCCTTAACTCTACATGCGCAACAAAACTACAATTAATTACAGAGGAGAGAAAATACAGATATATATAGTGATATTTCCCCAATTACACTTGCAACAAGGCATTCACTTCGCAAAATGATCCTTCACTTGCAAAAAGACAGTATTATCTATTGCTGGGGATTCCCATTTAGACTTATGGTGACCAAAGATGGTATTTAACACAACATTAAAGATCTTCAAGAAGGAGAAGCTTTCCTAAGGAACCTGAGCTTACCTCCTCTACCAGAAGAAGCCTTGGCGGTCCCCATCCCATGGCCCAGGTCTACAACCACTCCAAACAAGATCTGGACACCGGCCAAATCCAAGATGAAGATCCAGATCCCGATCCCACAGTGCAACTCCTACGTCTTGGTTGTCAGCAGGAACCTGATTGAACTTCTCGCATCTATAGCCTGGCTAGGTGGTTTTCCTATGGCATTAATGTCTTTAAAACCTCATCTTTTATATCCTTTACAGGATACCAACTTTTTCCCATATGGATAACCTTTGGAAATAATATGGTGTCATACTCCAAAAATAGTATTGAATTTGAAGAAATGGCAGGAGGTGTCTGTCATCTTTTTGACCTCCCTATGCTTTCCCAACTAATCTGTGGTATCTTCCATAGATTCCTGAGTTTGCTCAGGCTTTCAGATTTATTCTGTGTTTTGTTTTTAGTTTACTGGACACAAAGACCTTTCCTAGGCCCACATTGTAAAAATGGAGCGAAACCCAACTATATATACAAACATGTCTTGTGTCTATGTTTACCTTGTTTTTTTACACTGTCACAGTATGATAGCTACCTTTCTCAGGCCAATAGAATTTTTATATGGTTGTCTCCCATATTACAATGGCTTTACAAATATATTCTTGTAATGTTAAATGGCTAACTTCTTTTAGGAAGAGGTGGTTGACTATGAGAGAATTCTG